TCTCAAAACTGTGGCAAAATGATCGTATGGATAGTAGTGGGTGGGCTCAAAAGCTTGGCTACATTAGCACCTTTGTGGTGTGGATGTGCCCTTTTGTTGTCAACTTTCAGTTCACCGATTGTCATGAAAATTACAGCTTTTGTTCATGGAAAGGGGGTACACCTCACTCATTCCTCATACGCCTCTTGAAAACTCGAATATCTTCTCCTGGAGGCTTTTTATCGATTGTTCCAATTATCATGCTTGATTTTATTTGATATTGATTACCTGACTGCGATTGATTGCGGTTGCCCATTCATTTACAACGTTAGAATATTGAAAGCGGCTGCTATTTCAGCTATAATTTTCAGGTTGAATTGGTTTTCACCTATTCTTCCACACAGGCGACACATTTCCGAAGCTACAAAGCATGCGAATACCTACAGAAAGTTGAAATCTTAAATTGGAGTGAATATCATGAAGGTTCCTGTGATACTTTCGCAACATCAAGATATCAAGTCGCTACTGAAGCAGGTACGCCTTCCAATCTCCACGGTTATTTTTCAAAACAGTTTTGGGTGCTGTTGCAATAAAAGTAATAGCGAAAGGATTAGATGGGTAGTTTTGGATGCTTTTTATCTTTATTTACTCTCAATAAAACTTTTTGCGCTATCTTGATATGGGGGCACATCACGATATTGAACGGCCAACGCGTTCTGACGTTTGCATCCTGCTCACCGAGTCCTTAAAAGTTGTGGGTGTTCATGTCCTTGGGGGGGGGGGGGGGACATTCAAAACAGGCATTCAAAAACCGCTGGTAGGTGACACTAGGACTAAGCCCAGGATTGGGAATAAACACCAGGGAGAACAATGGTTGCTCACATCCTTCAGAATCCTTTCCCCTCCCTAAAGCTTAGTCCTCGAGTTCTATGAGTGGCCCGCTCACTTCAATGTCTAAGGACGTGAGCGCCTAGTTGTGAAATACGGTGAATCTGCGAACTTGAGCAAAAGGCACACGTTTAAACCGCGGATCTCCGCTCCCATAGTGCAATAACATTGTTTCTTGTTTTGATCTTGTTCTTATTGTTTTCGCATTTCTAATAGAGCGAACTGACTGTTTTCAGATAATACAAAGAAGACGAAAGGTTTCGAAACGTTCTATTCAATTGTATGAGCGTTACGAAGTCTTACGTGTTCTGATTATGACATCAACGTGAGGCTTTAGAGTACACATACTTTATAATCTAGTTTAATTGTTGGCGTTTAAGGACATCAAAAATGACAAGAAAGATATACTTGGTGAGTTAGCTGCAGTTATTCATCAAGTATGCAGTTGGAGGTGGAAAGAATGGCTGTGGGACGCATTGCCGGATGATAGGAGCGGAGCCTGGGCAGCATGATTGACGGTGAGTTTACACACCCGCGAATGTTTCCCGTACAGAGAGAGAGAAGGAACCTAGTGGCTATTGATTGCAGGCTGGCATGTCGAGTTGCAACCGTAAAGGTGGTCAACCAAAAACTTGCTGTATCCAAACAAGGCTAAAATTGGTAAACCTCCGCCAACGGTGCAAGTCCTGTCAACGTGGCTGCTATGTAGTAGTTATTGCTCAATTAAAAAGCAGTATTTTCAATGAACTGGCGTTGTGGTAACTCGGAACTCGCAGGCGTGGTGGCAGGTTGGGCAAATTGAGGACATCTCTTCACTCGAGCTTCTGCCCGTAGCCTATTATTTTTTAATTCCTAGTCATAGCCGCGAGATCATGATAGATGTAACGTAGATCGGATCAGATCCACACTGTGCTCGGGGGCGACGCCATAGGTCAGAATGGACAAAAGTAACTATCCGTCGGTTTAACATTTCTAGATGCGATAAACAGCGCCGGTGTGATGCGAACTAAAATAACGCTTGCAAGAATGCTGGGTTGTTAAACGAAGTTTGCCCAGACAGAACTCGAACCCGCACCTCAACTCCGGTTCCGTCTGAAGCGAAAGTTTTGTTCACAGCCTCGCATGCTTGGTGAAACTTTCGCAAGGCGAACTGCAGCCAAAAACGGCAGATAACGGTTAAAACAAGTCAAAATAATTTCATTTGCTTTTTACGTAAACTTATATCGAGACAAGTGTTGGGGGGCCTGCTTTGCACCACCAGAGGGTGTGAGTACTGTCATCAGTACTTCTGGAGTTGGTTTGTAAATGAGACAGAGAACTCAGACTGAAATGGTTGCCGAAGAAGAACAGGCGATCTTTGTTTCTGCGCTGCATTACGCTCTAGTTGAATTGAAGTCGAAGAGAATTCGCCTATCGAATCAATTCGCGACGGTTAGTCATGAATATTCGTCGGAAATGATCATTAGGATGTCGTTCATGTTTTAGAGTGTTTTGAGAATTCTCGCAGAGTTTCTCGACTTCTCCAATTCACACTTGGTCTTCTTCCCAATACTTGATGTGTGTCGTGAAATGGCAGAGGAGTACCCGCAGGTTTTCGAAAAATTCTTCGAGGTAACTGCCAGTTTTAGTTACATACATTTAATGTTGAAGTGATTTCTGGAAGTATTTCACTTACCAAATAAGCTACCATTACGAGTTCTTTGTTAGTTCTGGTTTTGGCGACTGCCTAGTGCTGTCCAGCTTATTAAGAATGCACTTTGGTCACAGTAGTCCAATCCAATAGGTGATGTGGCCGTAAAATTTTCATTGAATTTGGCAGAATCGTGTCCATCCGAAGGTAGCATGATGGTAGGACGCAAGTAAAAGAGCAGTGGCTCAACTGTGCTTCTTTTTTGCTGTGCTCTTTAAAACATGTTATTTGAAGGAGATCATCGACTACTTGGTTGGCTGGGACCTTGAGTCCTCAATGCCTTCGTCCGTGCCAAAAAAGTGCCACGAAGTCATCAAATCGCTTCTCCCATTCTGGCACAAAATGCCCGACTTTGGTCATCAAATGATGTCTCAGTTTTTGGATGACATTGGAGGATATGTAGAGGTTAGTGACTGACAGCGTCTAAATTAATTATTCTACAGTTATTCTTATTTTGTGCAATTACTTTAGGAGTACGAAAAACACGGCAATTTGCGCAATTGCTTAAACAAAGCCTGCTCAGTCCTGGAGCTTCTTGTAGTTCTGATAGAGATATATGTTCAAGATCGAAATAGTGTTCAGCAGTTTTATTGGGATGTAGTGCAGCAGGTGACATAAAATTATACTATCTGTATCTTTACTTAATTTAAGCTAATTATTCAGTCGCTCTCTTCTTGCACTTCGAGCATGGCTCAACTCGGCTCCGAACCGTCCTTTCGTGTGGGTGTGTTTTTGTCGGAGTACTGCGGGATTTTCTCAACGGCTGTGCCACTTGTTGATTCTCAGGTGAGATAACGCCAAAATATAGAAAACATTTTTTGAAATTAACTCTATTGATTCACTTTAGAACGTTCACATAGTATCGGGATGTGCAACAACCGCAATTGAGATAATGCACAAATATTGCTCCAACGAGGCTGCTGTAGTTAATTGTCTCAAATACTTCACAACGGTATCCCAGCACTGATCTTATTTCTTAACCGAACCATCTCCACAACGTACAACTTTTCAGATTTTCACGGTTTCGTCGTTACCTGCTGAATTTACCGTTCCTCTGACTGAAAGGCTAGGGATACTGGGAGAACATTCAGTTTTCCAGCTTTCAGTTTTTGGAAGGTTTGTTCTAACTTTTCTTTATGAGAGGGTCATTTTTTGGATTTTATGTTTTCATGGACCTTCTTGCTCAGTCAATGTTGACATTGTCCAATTTTTGAAGATCGACAAATTCTGTGTCATTATCGAATGACTATGGCTTTTCAATGGATAGCCTCTCTTGATTGACAGTAGCATGTTTGAGGTTCGATTTTCAGACCAAAACTTGCGTCGGCATTGCTATCCCTGCTCACCTCGATGATGTGCCCTTCCGTTTTGCCACTACTTCTGGCATCGTATACTACAGTGAGGGAAAAGCTAATAGGTGAGGCACCCTCTCCATTTCGACGTGTTTTCCGAATTCATGTTCCGCTTGAAAATTTTCGAAGATTTACATTTTGATCTCTTTATTTAAGCTGAGGTTGAGTCCCTCCGTGACGAGAATGCAGACCCACTTACGCTAATACGGGAAACGGAAGCACGACTTCTGATCCTTATCGGAGCTTTTGCGGCGTTGGCCTCTCTCAAGAGCAGTCTTATTGTGGTTGGTGAAAAATCTTTGGTAATTCCACGTAATTCTACGCAGTTCATTTGTTGTACATGCATCAATTTTTCAGATGATGGGGTTGCGTCCGTCTTTGTTCCATCTGCTGCTCAAAGAAATGCCACTGACAGAACAATGGTTCATCACTAAATATCCAGCTGTTCATTACTGCCTACTGAATGTGATGCACACTCACGTTGCTTCGTGAGTTTTCTCTTTTTTTTGTTGCTTTTGTCGCGACTGGTAGTAAATTTTGAAATTTTGCAGTCACGATTATTTCTTGTCGAATTCTGAATGGTTGGTCCAAAGTAACTCGCCAAGCTGCATGTTTGCCAAAGAGCAGTTGATGGCCATCGACCGCTTATTGAGCTCTCATATACAATGGGAACACACAAAGTGAGTATTTTTTAAAGTTAGGTTGTATTCAGCGCTACAACAAGAGTTTTTCAGAGCTTTGTGCGTGAAATGGCTGCATGGACTTTTGTCGGGTATCGATGATTCTGCTATGGCATCGTTGTCCTATCGTCCAGAGTTCGTTCGAATACGCTGGGTGGTTTTGAATACAGTTATTACCGAGAAACCGAACGAAAAGTGATTTTTCCCTCTCCACAGCACTCTTCAAATGTTTTGATTTACGTGTAGCCTGATCTTTAGGTTGAATGCTGTTGCAATGCGTTTGAACGTTCACAGCGCCACCGACAATCAAAACGCTGTAGCTATAACGAAATCAGTAATATCAAAGGTATGGTTTTGAACGAAAATAGTAAAAGTAGGTGGTGAGTATGTTATGTGGGTAAGTGCTGTGTGTTCCCAACCAGTCAGATTAAAGGAGTCAATCGTAACAACTTAGACGTGTGTTGGGAAATAATAGTAGGATTTTTCACTGATCTGATCGCCCTTCCTTCTCTTCCCTTCCTATGCGCTTTTTGTTTTTCTGTTTGTAAGCTAGTCACGAAGTTTACCTGCAGCTTGGCTGATGGCAACAGCAAAGATTTCAATTTGATTCCCGAAAATTTCAGAGGCCTCAGAAAGTGGGTAGAGGTTGTTATCAGGTCAGAGGACAGAAAATTCGAAGTAAAAATTATTGGTTACAGAGAGCAGAAAATTCATTGTGAAAAGTATTCTATGAGGTATCCAAGGCAACTGAATTGCCCGCAGTGGGCGGGGAGAGCCCTCAAGTGGGCGGGTTTTCGAAAAGTCTCATAAATCGGTTCCAAGGTAGTTCGGAGCTCCGGAAAGAAGTGAATAGAGGCTGGCGATTAAGGTAAGATTAAATGCCATTGTTGGGTGAGGCGTGTATCGAAGCGCGGGGGTCGCTATTAAGCCTTCTAATTCACTCCCGAGACTGCCGGGAGACCAGAAAAAGCGGATAGATGCTGGCTAGGAAGGAAAGGCCAAGTGGTATTCATAACCGGGGTTCCCATAAAGCTTCTGACTAGCTCCCGTTCTTCATGTTGTTTTTCCCGGCAAGATGGCGAGATGTGTAGAGCCTTATTCCGTGGTTTTCCTCCTTATGGACATGGATGTGAGTTTCTTCCGCAGAGGCTAATTGGACAAAAATATTTGAGAACGGCGTTTGATTTCATATTGTTTAGTACCGTTTATCAAGGCGCAAAGCTTTCAGAGATAGCCACAATTTAGTCACTGATGGAGGACTCTTTGGATTCCAGCGCATCTTCTTGTCGGGTCGTTCGAAACCGGATGGTTTCCGCTTCGTTAGCATTCAATTCAGTTGTTATGATGTCGGCAATGAGCCATAAAAGTCCTAGTTTGCAGGCGGTTCACTTTCGTGTCAAACCGCTTTTCGCGACGATCACAGTCTCACATTTAACGGCGAAAGCTTAGTCGTGAATTTGTGAAGCTTGCGAAACATTTTGATGGTTTTAATTGAAATCTGAGCAATGTTTGTT